ACCTGAATCTGGGCAAGTGTTGGTAAGAAAGAAAGAATGAGGGAGCGAGGGAGGTAGATTAAGAGAGTGAGGTTGAAATCCAAAGGCAGAACAATTAAACTCCATAAAAAAGAAAAGAAACAAAGAAAGGGAAAAAAGTGATGCTGAGGAGAAGCAGATTACTGTGGCAGCTGCGACCTACCATCTTTAATTTTTTCTTCTATTTTTCTGTTAGAGAGAGAAGGCGATAGGTTAGGAAATATTGTTTTGGTGTTTTTAATTACGATTTTTTTTTTTTTTGCGTTAATTTTTAGTTTTTTTTTTTTTTTTTTTGCCACATGCCATGTCATGTGACCTGCTATGCTATTTGAATTTTTTAAAGCAATCCGTTAATTTTAACTAGAGAATTACCAGAAAATAGCGTGAGAGATCACATTAAAAATAATGAGTTGGAAGAAATTCAAAAGGCAATCAAGGGCATAATTGAAAAAAAAATCAAACACCCAAAACACTCCCAAAAATACAAAAATAATATACCTTTTAAAATAGCTATGAATTAATTAATTAATAAACAGTTATCAATTATTCTACGAAGACGATTCATTATCTATCTTATCATTTCGGATATATGCTACATGCTAGGATTTTATTTTATTATCATTTGTGTTATTTTTATGAAAAAAATATTCATACAAATTTATTATAAGTATTTAAATATAAAAATATAATCACAAGGGTATTATAGTAAATATATAATAATACATTTTCTTTCCTTCCTTTTTTTACAATTATTCAAACAAAATAAATGTATTTTCTTTTCTTTCATTTCCACTCTTATCCCAACAACAAATAGAAAATAATTTTTTTTCTCTCTCTTTTCTTTTCTCTCACTTTCTTTCCTCTCTTTTCTTTCCTCTCCAGATAAATTATCCAAGCAAGGGGGTAAGTCTCTTAAAAAGTGAACTTCCATTAATTTTCTCACCTACTTCAACTTAGGTTTTCGTACGTCACCGTCACATTCAATGTTCTATGTCGTGAACTGGTTTTCGTTTTGCAGAATAAAAAATTTCTTCTTCATCATGCTGACATGCACGGTGTATTTTTAAATCATCTTAAAAGAAATTTAATATCAATTAATATACAAATTAGTTGGAGAATATTTTAAAAATAAAAAGCAAAATTCTTCTACATTAATTATTGTTGAAAAACGAATTAAGTAAAATAAATAAAATAAAAATAATCACACAACATAAAGATTTTATGTGATTTGATAATGGTGTCTATTCTATGATTGCGTGAAAAATTTTATTAGGTTTTGTTACGTGATAGCTATAAAAACAAATGATGTTATCTCTATTTAAAGCATAAATAACTAAGGTTATAAGAAAAAACAATCTAACGGACATATATATTTGATTCAATATTCTGTAAAATTTCTAAGAGCTCTGCTCTTGAGCCTATGCAAGGAAAGCTGCTCCATTGACCTCTTCTCATTAACCAACTAACGAAATCATCGTGTTGACTCTACATAACGTCTTATATTACGAATCTCCATCCACATCGATATTTATAATTTAACAATTATAAATAAATAAAAAATCCACAAGTTAACAATTAAAAAAAAACCTTTGAACAACTTCGTAGATCGTTATTTAATATAATTATAATAATTTTTTTTCATCCAATAAATCATAATTTTTTTAAAAGAAGTTTTCTTTCTTCTTTACATTATATGAACACTATGATTCCAATAACAAGGCACGACTACATAAATTTAGAAGATAAACAGTTGCTGATTTTGAACTTACCCGGAAAATAACACTTCTAAACTTGAATCAATAATTCATAAGAATAAATAAATGGCTGCCGAAGCTAGGGTTGATGGTGCATACAACCATACAAGTGGAAGGGCAAGCTGCCTACTCAATAACAATTCGAAACGTAGATCACTTTTTTCCATTGAATTGCGACATTTGGAAATGATGTGGGAGGGGGCAGCTTTCCCTTGAATCGAGTGATGGTGATGGGAATGGACAAGTGGGACTGGAAAAGATAAACCAAACCTTAAAGCCTGTCACTCTATTGCTCTACGTCCATATTCCAACATTATCAGAAAAGAAACGCAGAATCCTATAGCTTCTTTTTCGTCCACAACTATCCTAATTGGTTGAAGAGTTGCCTATAGATTATGATTTTTTAACCCTGAAGCGTCCGTCCAAAAGAGTTTACCAAGAAAGTTTGCGCATCCACTATATCATAATGTCTCGTGAATCTTTTTAATGATACACTTGTCATCAAATTAAAAAAAAATGTTTAGAAGTTGGCTCTAATTAAAAAAAAAATCCAAATTACCAGGATCAATTTAGGTAATAAATTTTAAGAATTTCTAGAAATGAGTCATTTCAGTAATTATCTGATTTTTTTTTCCCAATAGAGCGGTGACCATTTGTAATTTTGATATTTTCTTCTTTTTTTTTATTTGTAAATTCTTAAAACTAATGTACCTGCAAATTTTCTTGAACCTGAACTTCATTTTAGCTAGTTAAAACTTTTGATCTTGAGTCTACTTTTAACTAGTTAACTTGTACTTTTTTTTAGTATTTGAGTTAAAAGAAAAAAAAAAAAAACAATTTCCTAATATAGCCTACTCTATCAGATTGGCTAAATTATAATAAAAAGGGCAAAACATTAAGGTTTGATAAAGGGGCAAAAAAATCATAGAATTACTCCAATCTCCTGCATGCTCACCCTAATCATGTGGCAACCTAATGATGTGAAGCTTTAATGCTTCTTTACATTTCTGTATTCTTTTTTTTTTTTTTCCTCAAAAAGTCTCTCTACTGTTTTTTTTTTATATCATCTATGTGCGTTATATTTTTGTCATCATTACACTTTTTTGCCAAGTTGGTTGTGCTGACGTTGTTAAAATCCAACAAGTGACAGTGTAGAATTTGTTGCTGATGTACATTTTGGTCCCTAAAGGTTTTTAAAACTTTACTTTAGTCCTTTTATTTTATTTTTACAAATAAGTCTTTAATTGATTTTTTTTTTGTCATTTTACTTTGCAATAAATACAATTTAATTAATTTTTTTAATTAAATCCTCTCATGTCAAATCATAAACTTGATCAAAATTCGATGATAGATATATGATTTTATAAAAAAACAAAATTTAACAAAATTACAATAATATCAAATGCAATAATTAAAAAATATTCACATGCGTCTAATCAATCTAATCAAATAAATATTATCAAAATTTTCAGAAATTGAGTTATTATTTTGAGATAAAATTCTTTTTTTTTTTTTTACACTTTTTGTACATCTGTCAATATGTTGTCATCTTATTGTGTGAGAATAGATTAGTTGACTTATTGTGGTGTAATAGAGTTGTATTGACACATTTGGTTTTGTAAGAATTATTTTTTTCAAAAAAAATATTAATTTTGTAAGTATTGAATTATTGTTGTTAGGTTATTAAAAAAAATATGAGAAAAAAATCAGAATAAAAGTAAAAAATACTTCATATATCTAAAACACTATGAGAATTTTGATCAAGTTTACTATATGATTTTAATTAAAAAAAATCATTGAGGGACCAAATTGTATTTACTATAATGTATAATGACCAAAAAAATTTCAATTAATGACTTATCATTTTTTCTTTAAATTAAAGACTAAAATGTACATCGACAAATTTTTATTATGCCAAGTGTCAAATTTAAGGACGTTAATAGAGTATAATAAAACGTACAAGAATAATATTAAGACAACAATAATAATAATAATAATGACAGAAGAATTTCTTAAACATAAAAAAAAAGTATAAAAATATAGAGAAGCATTAACCCACTTATGTGAATAACACGCCCTACGTGACAACTTGATGGCCATGCTCTGTTGCCTTAAGTTGGTAATTTCTAGGCTGGGCTCAACATAATATGACCTTTCTTGACTTCTAGAATTCTGCAATCAGCATCCAAGAATCACAACGCCATTAGATGCGTAGCGGGTGGGAGACGGTCGTTGGTAGCAATAAGTTTTGATAGCATAAGACGTCTGACGGTCTTTATTTCTCATGTCTATTTGGGTAGCCCATCCTCAGTACTGTATAAAAAATGTTAAGAGATCAGATTAAAATGCCCTTGACAGAAGCCCAACTCTCAAGCCCGCTGTTGCTCCTCAAAGGACTCGACTCAACCCTCAAGCACACTTGCCGATCTGGACTCTTGAAAATGAAATTGCCCCTTCATTTCTCACTGCTCGTTTATCAGTCGGCATGGTCCAACAAATGGTCCATTACAACTTTTTTATTACTATCCTCTGACCTGAGATCCGAGATCCATCCACGCACACGATCTACACCAATTTTTTTTTGACCAAACATGACCTAAACTAGAGAACTGTGAGGTGTCGGTTCTAAAAACTCATCTCAAAAAATCGAACTTAAACTAAACACCACTCCATATAAAATCATCCTTCCAAAGATTCCGGTGCACCTAAATGAACGAAGCCGAGATAATTTTACCGTACTAAATTGTGGATTTGGATCCATCTTTAGAGAGCTATACTTGGATAAATGATGGTTTAAGATCATAATTAAGCAATCCTGGGCAAGGACTAACACACATCTCGTTCTCAACCCTAATTTGCCAATTTCCGAAATAATGATCCAAATGTTTAATTTCAAGCCTGAGCATTAACCTAAAGTAAACAACTGATAGAAATTAATACCAGTCACAAAAAGCATACCAAACATTTTACAAAAAGTAAAGTGCATTTTGTACGGATAATTCATAATCACTACTCAAATCCTATAAATAAACTACTAAATGATCAAAAACCCAAAAAAAGGTGCCACTGACATTATTCAATTGGACAGAGCAGAAATAGATTGCATCAATAACAAAAGCTCTATCAACTTAGGAGAAAAAACAAAGGGCAAAAAAAAAAAAAAAAAAAAGAAGAACAAGAAAAAGAAAAATGAAATGGAGATTACAAGATATTGGTAATATCAATTAATTAGCCAGTATAGATGTGAACACCAATGGCTATAAGGAAGATAGTGATGAGCCCAAAAAAGATAATAGCATGCACAACAATAGAAGCACCACTTGTCTGCATATTCCCAAACTCAACCACCCTGCTCCTTCCAGGTATCTGAAATAACAGCCCCGGTGTTAACAGCACAAACAGCACCACTGCTATTATCACTGGCCCCCAATCTGCCATATCAACAAAGAAAGAAGAAATTATAAGAGAGGGTAATTAAGAGGTGTGAAAGGGGAATGGGGTTGTTGAAAAGAGAGTGGAAAATGGAGAGATTTGGAGTATGATGAAGGGGACATTAATGGACAAAATTTGCTTTGTTATTGATGCTTCTCGTGACATGTAGTGGCTTCTTTGCATAACGTGTCCAAGCTTACTGTTTGGTTTTTTAACGGCTCAGATCTTCTTGACCTGTGGTTTTTATTGTTTTGCACCTCATGTTCATATAAGTCCAGTTTATTTAATATTGGTTTAAAGGTGTGAACTGTAATTAGCCTTTTTTCTTTATGAAAAAAGATGAAAAGTGAGGTAGGTTATCACATATTTTCAAATCGAAACGTCTGCATCACATCTTTTTTTTTTTTTTTTTTTTGTATCTATAAAGATCTTTATAGTACTTATTTCAGAGTTGAATTTAGAGTTTTTTCAAAAATAAGTAACTAGAAATTACTATAGGTAAGATTCAAACTCCAGTCTCATGGATAAATGTTTTATACAATTTTCACTTACCACCGTACGAACCCAAAATTGACTAATTAGCGTTTACTAGTTAGATATTTACGTTACGATCAGATAATCTTTATAAATATAGAATTAACGATTCGTATAATATAATATGAATAGAAATTTTGTTTTTAAAGATTAATATAAATCAAATCTATATATTAAGCAAACTTATTTTATTTATATATACTTATTAACAAAATAATTTATAATATTAATATAAAAAATTATATTTGAATAATTAAAAAGTTCCTTCAAAATATTAATTAAATTAATTTATTTAAAAATATCGATTTTAGAACATGGAAAAAAATAAATAATTGATCTTATGTATGTAGATATAATTAATTTCTAAGAAAACTATTATATATGTATCGTACTTAACAAATTGAGAATATATAGAATAAATAAAAATATATATATACAAAAAAACCTACTGAAATCGCATGGAATATATCGAAGTAATTAGATTTAAATAAAAACTATTATAAAATTAGCTTCGATAAATTCGATTATATATATAAACCAAATAAAACCCGTGAATTTTTTAACTAGTTATTAATTTAAAAAAAATTGAGTCAAATTTTTTTTTAACTAATTATTATTTTTGAAAAAAATCAAGTCAAATTATCTAAAACACATTATTAGCTATCTCTCTCTCTCTCTCATCGAATTTATATATGCAACTACACTACTCTCATTTAAAAATCATAAAATAATCAATCGTATAAATTATAATAATATATTTTAAAAAATAAAAAATATCACGTTCTTAAATTTTATTTCAAAATCAATAAATAAAAAATCAAATTTATTAAAAAATAAAATTATATAAAAAAATTAAAAAATTAATTTGATGATAAATTTTAATAAGAAAAAAACAATTAAAGAAATAAATTTTAAATAATAAAAATAATATAATTAGATATATATATATATATGTGTGTGTGTGTGTGTGTGTGTGTGTGTGTGTGTGTGTGTTCAAATTAAAATCTTAAAAAAATATATTATATATATTCTATTATTGTCAAATTGTATGTAAATATAAAAAAAATAACAATTTTTTTTTATATTTTCACACTGATTTCGTGATAAAAATATAAAAATAAATTATTAGAAGAGAAAAAAAGCAAATGGGATCTGCTTGTGTAGGCATGTGAGCCGAGCCGAGTCGAGCTCGCTTCTTTAGGACCAACGACCCTTAAAAAAAAAATGCTACGAGCAAATGAACGAGTAACAACCCCGGATCTTTTAGTATTTTTAGTAATTTGATTTTTGAATATTTAGACTTTGAGATTTTGATGAACAACTTTGATGATTTTTTTTATTATTTATATAGCTTTAATAACCATTAAGTAAACTAATTATTTCTTTTTCTTCTTTTTGTCAAGGATAATTCTATGAAATATATTGAGTGCAAAAGTTAGGATTCCAAGTGATTACTATTCATAGTTGTCAAACGAGTGACAATCTATAAAGGTTTGTTTTGCTACATTATGAATAGCTCAATTACAAAAACAAAAAATGAAAGCAAAAGAAACTAACGAATGAGATACGATTCTTTTATTAGCCTCTCGAACGAAGTCACTATCGGAAAACATGAAATTAGTGAGGGTTTTTTTGCAATGGACTAAAATATTATCACAAAAAATAATTTTTTGCGACGGTTTCATACAACCATAGCAAGTACAATTTTGAAAAGAAAAATTAGTGATGGTTTATTAAACCATCACTAACTCAATAAAAAAAAAGATTGAATTTAACGATGATTTAAGAGAACTGGTTGCTAACCTAAGTAAATAATTTGGAATTAGCAATGGTTTAACAAAACCTATTGTTACCAAGAAAATTTAGGAAAGTGTCGCTAAAATCTATTGTTATCAAGGAAATTTAGCAATGGTTAATGAAAACCATTCGCTAAATCCATTGATATTTGAAATGAACTTTTGGAAGAAAAATTACGACGGTTTTTTTTAATAAAAACAGTTGCAAAATGTAAAAATTAGCGATAATTTTATAAAATCATCATTAATTTTTTACCGTTGGAGGAAAACGATCACATTTTGAATTTTTTAGCTAATTTAGTGATGGTTTTAGCAACGGGACCAAAACCATTGCTAAAAACTAAATCCCTAAATGCTAATGCCCTCATCTTTTTCTCTCAAATTTTCTTTCTCTCCTTCATCTTCTTCTAACAACTGCACACTCCAAAATCTCTTCCTAGTTTCTCCCCCAAACTTGCCTCGCAATTCCCTCTAAATCTCCTATTTTCTCATCTTTTCTTCTTGCCCTCCATCTCTTCCCCTCTTCTCCTCCCTTTTCTTCTTTTTTCCCTCTTTTCCTCCTCCTCCCTTCACTCCTCTTCTTCGTGGCAGGAGCTCCTTCATGGCAACAACCCTTCCTCCTTCTAGCTTGGCAATAGCTCCTCTTTGATAACCCATGCATTAAGTTTTTTTTTTTTTGTTTTTCAAGTTTTTGAATAATTTAATTTTTTAATAATTTTTTGTTGTTAATTGTTAATTATTGTTATTTTTAATTGTTTATTAGTTAATTGCTAGTTAGTTTAATTATTTATTATTGTTGTTGTTAATTAATTTAATTTTTTGTTTAAATAATTTTTAAAGTGCTAGTTTAATAAAATATGTGTTAAATAATTTTGATTCACATAGTTGTTAATGAAATTAAGTTTATATGTTGGTATTTAAAAATTTTAGTTGTTAACTATTGTTAAATAAGTGATTTATTGGTTAATTGTTATTTAGCTTAAATTATTTTATTATTATAAATATTTTTTATTTGTTAATTAATTTAATTTTTTATTTAAATAATTAATTAAGTGTTAGTTTAATAAATTGTGTGTTAGATAAATTCCATTGAGTTGTTAATTGTTTATTAGTTAATTGTTAGTTAGTTTATTTTATTTTGTTGTTATAAGTAATTGTTATTTATTAATTAATTTAATTTTTGGTCAAAATAATTATTTAAGAATTAGTATAGTATAGTATGTGTTAAATAATTTTTATTTATATAGTTTTTACTGAAATTAAGTTTATATGTTGGTATTTAAAAAATTTAATTGTTAATTGTTGTTAAATAAGTGATTTTTTGGTTAATTGCTAGCTAGTTTAATTTATTTTATTATTTTAAGTATTTTTATTTTTTAATTAATTTAATTTTTTGTTTAAATAATTATTTAAGTATTATTTTAACAAATTACGTGTTAAATAATTTTCATTTAGCTATTAATTAAATTAAATAAAATTGTTTGTATTTAAATAATTTAATTGTTTTTTAAAAATTGAATAGGTGTTAGTTTTATTTATTAATTAATTAATTTTTAAATAAGTAATTTACTTGTTAATTACATTAATTAAATTTATGGGAAAATAAATTATTTAATTATTTTACGAAATTAATTTTTTATTAGTTTAATTATATATACAAGTGGTAATTAAAATTTTCAATTGTTACATTAAATAAAATAATTAATTGGTAATTAAAATTTTAAAATATTTTTTAAAATAATTAATTAGGTAGTTGATTAAGAAAATTAGTTTAGAATTATATATATGTGTGTGTGTGTGTGTGTGTGTGTGTGTGTGTGTGTGTGTGTGTGTGTGCTATATATGTATGTATGTATGTATGTATAAATGTATATTTATGTATGTGTGTGTGTGTATGTATATATGTCTATATATGTATGTGTGTGTGTGTGTGTATACGTGTTACTTTAATTTATTTGCTTGTTATTTAGGTTTTGTAATTGTTAATTAAGTCAATTATTTTATAATTAAGTTATTTAATTTTCGTTTAAAAGAATCAATTAGGTAGATAAATAAGAAAATTAAGAGTTTATAAGTAGATTAATAAAATTTAATTTAAATTATAAAATTACGGGTTAGTTTCATTCGAGTTGCTTGTTAATTTAGTTTTGTAATTGTTAAATTAAGTCCATTAATCGGTAATTAAATTATTAAATTATTATTTTTTTAGTTAGGTTGTTAATTAATTTTTTTAGTTTATTAATAAATTATAAAAATTTTTAAAAAATATAAAATTACATGTTAGTTTAATTAATTTGGTTGTTAATGTCCTTTTTAAAATTTTCAATTAAGTCAATTATTTTGTAATTAAAATATTTAATTATTGATTAAAAGAATTAATTACGTAGTTAATTAAAATATTAATTAATTAGTTGTTAAACTAATTTTTTATTTGTTAATTGAAGTAAATTAGCTATTTAATTATTAAAATAATTACATTTAGTTTAAAATGAATTTGGATCGTTTATGGATTGACTATAGAGTAGCCAATGGACTTTTAAATTAGCATTTTGTAGATGGGATTAATGAATTTATTAATTTTGTTGTTAGTCATCCGAAGTGTATGGACGGAAATAAGATAAGATGTCCTTATAAACTTAAAAAATGTCAAAACCATAGTTATGAAAATCTTGATAT